CCAAGAGGTCCTCCAGGAGAGTCCGAAGAGGCCAAAATCATTGATTTTCCTTGGTTTTTGAAGGATTTTGGCATTTGCGCCTTTTCGGCTCTCCGACGGCTCAAGACGGCCCAAGAAGCCCCCAAGATCGCCCAAGAGGCCCCCAAGAGAGCCCCCTGATGGCCCAAGTGGCCTCCAAGATGGCCCCTAGAGGGCCCCAAGAGGGCCCAAGAGGCCTCCAACACGCCCAAGATGGCCTCCAAGACGCCCAAGATGGCCTCCAAGACGGCCCTGGAGCGCCCCAAGAGGGTCCCCCGTTGGCCCAGAAAGGCCCCCAAAACGGCTCCCGACGGCGTCAGACGTGCCAGGAACCCACCAAGATGGCCGAAGTTCGCTCGAAGCTGGCCCAAAAGGGCCCAAGAGGCCCCCAAGAGGGCCTCCAGGAAGGCCAAAAGATGCCAAAATCACTGATTTTCCCAAGGTTTTTGATGGATTTGGGCATTTCCCTTTTTTCGGCCTTCCGACGGCCCGACACGGCCCAAGAGCCCCCAAAGATCGCCGAAAGATCGCCCAAGAGGCCTCCAAGACGGCGACGATGACCATCAAGACGCTCACGTGTTCCCCGATGGCTTTCCAAACCGATTCGGGGAACACATGGTCCGATGGCTCGGCAGGCCCGGCCTCAACGTTCGGCCACATAGGCGCTTCCACAAAGGCAGGGGGCGGCGGTGATTCGCCGTAGGCGTCTTCGATAGATGCGGAATGAGAGGGGCAAGGAAGGGAAAAGAGAGGAGGGACGAGGGCGAAGGAGGATCATATCAGTCGGAGCGCTCCGGATCGGCGGCACTGGCCGAAGGCCACTACAATGCCCCCTCCAATCGGCGCCTGAGAGCAATACCACTAATGTCACGGCGTGTGAGAGGTCTCCATATCTGCGATGCCAGTCGCGCCCCGCTGTCGCTCCACGGGGGGGGGGCCCTAAAAGAGAGCGCTCGAGTGGTCTCTGCGGGGCCCTCGTTTTCCACTCGTCGTCTCAGTGGTGTTGTGTCCATCTGCGCGTGCGCTGTCTCCAGTCTTCTTGCGCCTCCTGTCGGCGCCCCAGAAAAAGACCCCCCTGCCGGCGCAGGCCCCGCTGGCCCGCACTCCGAGACGCCCTCGCCAGTGCAGCCGCGGGCGCGAGCGGGCGCTCTCACGCGCGGTCGCTGGAGCTAGCCGCTCCACCTGAAAAGAAGCACTTCTCGAGGATACTGGCGCCGTCGAGCAGGGCCCGTGCTCTCGCGCAGTTCCTGACGACGCCGGAGCCTCTCGACCTCCTTCCTCTCGAGATTCTCGATGGTCTGCAGCTCCCTCTCGGATGCCTCCAAGACGCCCCGCAGGTTCTCCAGGTCGTTCTTCGCGATCCACATCGCAAGCTCGCACCAGCTGCGCGACGAGAAATGCTGCCCCCCTGCCGCTTGCCACGCGTCCACCGCGCACTCCGCAATGAGTTCGCAGCCCTCTACGTGGCGCGTCATCGGGGGGGCGGGCGGGATCATCGCCTGCAGGTCATCTGGGCTCAGCTGCTGGGCTGCGTCGAAGAACTGGCGGTGGTGCTCTCTGATGGCGTCGTCGATCTTCCGCAGCAGCCTCTCGGCTGCAAATGCCTCCCACTTGCCATCAACGAGAATCTCCATCACCATCGCCGGGCCGTCGCGGCGCGGGTGGAACTCGACATGCAGCCGATCTCGGGCGCGGTCCTCGGCGAAGTCGCTCTTCACCATGTCCACCCATTATTTCATGAGCTGGTCTTTGGAGCAGCCCCTCCGGGCAAGCACCGGCACCTCCCAGTCGACCTTGCACCAAAACCTCCACTGATCTGACCGCGAGTTAGCGCCGGGGCCCCTCCACCACAGCTTGTTGGGGAAGGCTAGCGAGCACGAGCAGGCGCAGTTCTTGCCCCCGCACTAGCCTGCGCGGCCCTTGCATGCATTGTACAAGTGCATGTTGTCGCTCCACCTGTCCACGCAGTCAAGCGCCTTCAGGTACTGGGTCTGCTGCGCATCCATGTTCTTGCACGTCTTGTAGTTGCCGTGTTCCCGCAGCTCCTTCCCCCTCTCTTCCAGCGCTTGCTTGGCTGCCTCCAATGTTTCCCAGTCCTCCATCTCGATGAGCATGCACTCGCGCAGCATGGCATCGCACTCCTCAGCGCACTTCAGGGCGACCAGCAAATTCCCCCCCGCCTCGCTGAAGGCCGCGAAGATGCCCCCGTTCTTCTTGATGCCGTCCACCAATGCCTTCGACGCCTCCCTGGAAAGCTCGAGGACTTTCTTGTTTCTCTGGTTGCGCGACCTCTGCGGCTGGTTGCCTTGCGCCTCCACGCCGATGATCGCCTTCGTTGCCTGGACTTGCCCCATGGATTGCGCGGTCCACGTTAGGCCCCTCGCGCGCTGCTTCTGATCACGGCTCACTTGTTCTTGCGCGATGTACTTCTCCCGGCCATGGCGAAGCCTCTCCTCGTCGCTCCACCCGAGCCATTCCTCGCGCGCAAGGGCCAATTCGCACTTGACGCACACCCTCTTCCACTGGCTTCCTTTTCCCCCCTAGTCTCGTTCACGTCCCGGCTCGTTCTCGGCGCGCCCCCCGCGGCTCTCCATCATCCTGTAGTACCCGAACCGCTCGCCGCATCGGCCGCGTGGCAGCAGCTCGTCGCTGCTGGTAAAGGCCATGAGCAGCCCTCTGCGTCTCGCACTCCGCGATGCCCTCGCTAATACAAGTTCGCACCAAGGCTGTGGTCGAGCAAGGCGGGCTGTGGAAGCAGATGGTAAGCGACGGGGGGTTGTCTCCGATCTGCAATCCCGCGCGGCGCCCAGTTGTCCCCAAGGGCACCTGGCAATACCATGGAGTCGGGGCCTGCTCCTGGCCCTCGCGCCTGTCCGTGACTCATCGCTTCATCTATGTTATCTATCTGGCGCCTGCAAGGCATGCAGAGGTCCCGCGCGCGCCGCATCGCCACAACTGTAAATGGCCACGAAGAGATGGAGGGGGAAAGTAGGGCGGCGCCGGGAGATGTCGCGTCGTCACATGTTAAGACGCAGGCAACTAAATGTTCGGATGAGAGGACTGGCTGCTGCCTGGGAGAACTCGCCCCGGGGGGGGCCCTTGCCGCCCGAAATTTGAAGGCCAGTTGGCAAGCCCTTCCGTTCGGGGGCACGTGTCTGAATTTGGCGAGGCGCTCAACAGTCAATCTTTTCCTCATCGGAGAGATGCCGTCTCGCTTGTCCGCTATTGGGCACTCCTGAGAGGCCCGCCTGCGCCGGGGAGGCCCCCTGAGGGGCGGGCCCTCAGAACGCGGTGCGGTAACCTTCGCCGAGGGGCCGTGAAAGTGCTGGTCCGCGTCAGTCGCGGTCGGGCACAATCTGCCGGGGTTCTTACACCCCGAGATGCCCTCGCTAGCGCCGCCACCCCCTCTTCTCTTAGCGTCGCCGACGCTGGAGTTCGCGCTCCACCACCGTCTCCAAATCCGCCTCGGGCGCCGCCGCCAGGGGCTCCGCGCCGCCGCTTGCCGCTGCGAGCTTTGTAGCTCTCGCTGACCCTGCACGGCTTGATCGTCTCGGTGACCACGGCCTGGCTGTAGATGTCGCTGCCGTTCAACATCACCAGGACGAAGTTGTTCAGTGCGTCGATCGCCCAGACCATAAGTGGTTCTACCGATGTAACGTCCTCTTCCACTAGCGCCATTCCCGCGTGGATGCCCGGGGGCCCGAGCGAACGCCCCTTGCCCCGCTCTCAGACCATTTTCCCCTAGCAGCGGCCCGCGGCTAGAGACTTCCGAAACGCCCATGCGCTGACTGGAGCGAGGTAGAAGTCCGCGGCCAGGTGGTTCATCTCGCGCATCTCTGCCGCGGATCGGAGGGCCAGGCGCTGGAGTCCGCCGATGGCTCCTCTGAGGCCGGGCTCCTCGCAGTCGTCCGTTGACTGGGGTTGCTGGCTGGGGGGGCCCGCGGCCCCCCCCCCCCCGCCCTCGCTGCCCCCCCCGGCCGCCTCGGCCGCGGCCGAAGGAGCACCCCCCTGCCGCCCCGGCACTGGCCGCGCCCATTCCGCACTGATCCTTGCCTCACCCTTGTCGCCCTCGCGGCGCTTCGACCCGCCCTCCATCTCTCCGTCGGCTCCGCGCTCGGGGGGGCAGTCGCCAAGAAGCACTCGCCATCCTTAGGGGGCAGGGCGCTGCGTGGACCTGGATGGCGGCAGAGGACGCGGGCTTGAAACTCCCCGAGCGATCGAGCCCGATAGAGACAGAGGGAGCAGTCGAGGGAAGAGGGCTCCTGCACGGGGTGGTTCTAACAGCTTCTGTTTTTGAAACAGATCCCGCGGCTCTCCGCGGCCCTCTGGACATGGCCAACCGTAATTTTTCTCGTAGCGAACGAGCTCAAGCACCAGGGGCACTGGTTGGTCACCACTAGGCTGGGGACCAGAGGTCGGCAAGTTGCGCGCCGCTCTCCCGCGCGCCGCCAGCGCCGCCGCTGTTGCAAAGTGCGCCCTGAAGGAAGAGGCAGAGGGCGTCGCCGAGCCGGCTGGCGGCCTCCCTGAGCTGGGCGCTGAGCCACGAGGCCTGCCCCACTGGCTCCTGCGGGCACAGCGCCTCGCCACGCACCCGGCAAGCAGCCGCCGCCTTGACCGCGCATGGGATGCCCTGCAGCTCGCCCATCGCACGCCTCGCCCTGCTGCCCGAAGCGCTCGGCCAACGCGGCGGCGCAGCGCCAGCGAGGTGCGCGTCGGACGTCTCCCGCGCGCCCCTGTGGGAGAACTATCCCGGGTCGCTGCATCAGCCATCGCGCCCCGTGGGAACTCGCACGCGGGAGGAACCCTCCAGGCGGCGACGCCCTCCATGGCGAAGGCGCACGCCGAGGAGCTCGGCGCGCCAGCAGCACGAGAGGGAGAGAGAGCGAGAGAGAGAGTGGGAGAGAGAGAGAGAGAGGAAGACAGAGAGACAGAGAGAGAGAGAGGGAGAGAGGCGCAGTCCGACGCGCGCGCGCAGTTCGCAGGCCATCGCGAGGCACTTGGCGGCGGCAGGAGCGGCGAGCGCAGCCGGCCCGCGCGCACTGCGGCGCGAGATCTCCGCGACCAAGGCCGAGATCCTCGCCGCGGACGCCGAGACGGCGCAGGCCATCCAGGCCACCCTGAAGGGCAGCACCCTCGCAGCGAAGGCCACGAAGGCGATGTATGACCACGGGGTCGGCTTCGCACTCCACGGCGCCCCGGTCAAGACGGCGCCACGTAAACGGCGCACCAAGGCCGCGGAGCAGATCGGACAAGTGGCGGGCGTGCGACGACGTCAAGCAATCGGCGCAGCCACGCGGCTGGTCGCGAGAGGCCAGATGTCCACGACTGCACGCGGATGCGGGGCCCAGGCGAGGAGCGCCGCGGAGCAGGAGCGATAGCGGCCGACCACGGGCACGCACGCTCACCTTCGGCGGGGCGTGCGGCCCGCGGCGCGCTCGGGCCGAGCAGGCGACGATGACGCGGGGGCGCGGGCATGGCGCCATGCTGTGGCGGACCGCGCCGACGGCGGCCACGCGGCGCTCGCAGGGCGCGGCCCAGCAGCCGCGACGCCGGCGGCGCTGGAGCGGCTCGGCTGGACTGCCGCGGCGCTGAACCGAGGGGTGACGGACAACGGCGCCACGATCAAGCTGGAGGCCATCGGCGGCTTCACCCTCAGGGGCCAGATCCGCGACTCGCATCAGCGCTGGTTGCCGCGATGGTTGTGGCGTGAGGCGGCAACCAGAGCGCCCGAGCTCACGACCGTCGCAGTGCGAGGGCCACTCCGCGAGGTGAACGGCGCGAAGGCAAGCACGGCCCTACAGGCGCAGAGGTCCCACGCACGTGCATGCGGCTGTGAGCGGCTTCTGGCCCGTCGCGCGCCGCGTGGACCTGGACCCGCCGAGGCGCCAACCGGCACGCGGGCTGCGGCGGCCGCAGCACAGCACGGCGTCTCGCGTGGCGCTGCCTGGCCTTGGCAGCAGATGAGCGAAACGCCATCGCGGGCGATTCGGTGCTTCAGGCAATCCACGACGCGGCCGCCGAGTCAGACAGCGAGGAACCGCAGTTCTCACAAGCGCTGGTACCCATGCAGATGGACGGGGTATCCAAAGCGCTGGACACCGAAGAGGTGCGCTTGCGTGGCCTCGGCGGGGGCTCTCTCCTCTGCACCGACGGCTCCGCGCTGCACGAAAAGGCGGGCACGACCGAGGTGCGAGCGGGGTGGGGCATCGCGGCACTCCAGGTCCGCAGGGGGCACCCATGGGGCGTGGGGATGCGTCCCCGCCCACCTTTCACGGGACGCCAACGCGGGCGAGATCGTGGCAGCTGCGCGGGCCCTCGACGCGGGCGAGATCGTGGCAGCTGCGCGGGCCCTCGAGTGGAGGCCCCTTGGACCCGAGGGCACCCTCGAGGCCAGGACCGACTAACAGCTCCTTGCCACGGGCTTCGCAGCAGGCAGGGCCTGGTGCTGCGGCTGGG